CTGAGAGAGCGCATCTTTCCTTTTTGGAAAGTCTTTGTTATCCTTTGAGGGCAGATGATGACTGTTGAGGAAATTTTGAGTGCTCTGGAGTGAGCATATTGCTTTTTTCTGGTTATAAGCCTGACCTAGGTCCTACTAAGTGCATATTTGCTTTGTTTAATTGCTAAGATAGCCTAATGCTGGGGTGAAAAAACTATACCTGTTACCTGTCAGTGTGTGAGGCTCAAAGAAAGCGGGAGGTTCATGTGAACATGGAAGGGCTGCCCTGAGTGTGTGCGTGCCGTGAGCTGGGGAGGGGGAATGCTCCTTGCAGCGTGGTGAGTCGGGGCAGCCCTGCTGGTGTCAGGAGCTGGCTGGGGTTAAGGAAGGCTGCTTTGGCTGCTGAGAGCTGGCCTCTCTTCTGCACAGCACAGGGGTTACCTGAAGCATTTCCCAAGCCAGTGTGGTGATTGTAGGAGCCCCGTGACAGCAGCCTGAGCCATCCTTGGCTAGGACCTGGTGAATGCAGGTGTGGTGCAACCTCCTTTTCCCTTTGTGCTGTCACAGGGATGTGTGTGTACAAAGGGACATTCTCAAATGCAGCTTTGGAAATACGTCAGAGGAAGGAGAAATTCTCATAAAACCACATTAGAAATCTCTGTGCTTTGAGAGCCAATCCTCCCCTTGCATGCTCCATTGAGCAGATCCAGCAGCCTGAAATCAAGTCCATGGGGAACACTCCAGCAGCGCTGCCCTGCTCCTTGCAGTGCACGTCCTACTGAGTGCAGTGCTGCGCTCTGCAGTGCGTGACCTTGGGAGTAACTTCTGTACTTCCTTCTTGTTTTATTTCCTACTCAATTGATTGTTTAGGGGTCAAAATTGTATTCTTGGGTATGGAGGCCAGTAAACCAGCTGGGAAAAAGCTTACCCCACTCCCCTGGAGGGACAACCCTTAAGCAACAACCTCGTGGTCATGGCAAGGGAAAAAAGCTTCCTCCAGAATGCATTGTTGCTGTATGTTGATTCCATGTATCCCATTGGCCCTTCCCCTTAGTTCTGCTCCTGTGCCCTCATTGTTCATTCTGACGTTCTGCCCCACACCTGCCTCACTATCCCTATAGAAACCCCTGCTCTCTCTTCCTGAGTGAGTTCTTGGTGCCTGGACCCCTCTGCGGTAAGAGCTCAATAAAGACCTTCTGTGGAGCCCTGTAGGAAGACTCCGTCCCTTCCTTCTGCGTCGCTCGTGGCTGAAACCACTGGGCTAGAGCAAGACGTGCCTGTGCACCCAGGACGTCTTTTCAAAGACACTTCTCTAGGAAGGTGGTGGCACTCCACCACCCCTGCCCGCCACAACACTTGGGTGCAAGGCTGGATGGGCTTGGGCCCCTTTGCCGTGCACGGGCAGCCACCACAGCTGGCTTTGTGCATGGGATGTCATGCAGAACGCAGAATTACAGGTGTGTAACACTGATCCCTGAGCTCCGCAAGCATCGGGCATGTTTTTCCAACATGAATATGTGACAGTGGGGACCCACAGCCCAAGGATGCCAGGGAAAAGTACAGGCAGCATGTCATCCCTCTGTATGTCCCTCAGCCTGACCTGAGGGACTCAGGAGCCTTTTCCTTGGCACAACAGGTCTTTGTGAGCAAATCTCACAGCTGCTGAGCTGGGCATGGGAGAGCACAAATGGCATTGGCAGTAAGAGATGTGCAGGAGATGACTGGAAACCTGGCTGGATTGTTCTCACCTATCAAAGCCTGCATTCTTTCCCTCTTGAGGGTCCTGGGGAGGGGAGGCAGAGCAGGGGATTGCTCACAAACAGGGTGACACAAAAATCCTCTGACCCTTCTGAAAGAGCTGGACTGGATTGGGGAGCATCCAGGGTTGGTTTGAATGCAGAAAATGGATGGACTTGGGAAAACAGACTTTCCTCTTCAGAAATCAGCCCTCAGAGCCTGTGGAACAGCTCATCTGGCTGCTGGGACTTTGGTAGGTCTGTCAGACCACAGGGCCTTAACAAAGGTCTTAACACTGCCACTGAGCCCTTGTGTGAGATGAGGCATCGCTGTTATCCAGCAGAGTAAATTCCAGCACAGATGAGTACTCCACCTCCCTCACCATGGGAGAGAGCTGGAGCTGGTATCAGGCTCTGAAATTCCAGGCCTCAACATGAGATGGTGCACAGCATCCACTTCTATCCCTGCTCTGCCGCTCCTTTCGCAGCAGGAGGGTGCGAGAGCAGAATGCCTTTGGGGAAGAACTGGGGATAAAGGAGGTGCTAATGAGAACTGGAGAAATGAAAACATCAAAATGTAGAAAAGAATCGAGAAGAAATTCTTCTGCGGGGATTCATCAATCCAGCCCTCAGCATCTCCACACTGCCTGCCTGCTCTTCAGAAGGAGCGGGAAGAGGGATGCAGAACTTAAAAGGATTTTTTCCTCTGTGCTTTCCACTGGAAGAACAAATTTTTGAGGGGGAATCCTGCCTTATAACCTCATGTTATTTATTCAGTTGGCATCCCAGGCACACGGCACAACTCAAGTGTTTCCATTCCTGTCTGTGCAATGTGGATGTGAGTGCAGACCAGCCTTAGGTGGGAAAATCACAATTCCCTGACTCCAAGCAAGACACTCAAGAGCCGTGTGATGCAGAAACTGAGATGGTCCCTATTCAAAATGCACAGGACGTAGAAGGACTGCTGAGCATGTTCCACTCTGACAATAACAAGCCTTTGTGGGCAGATGAAGACGATCTCCCAACCCTGAACTACTCAGCACATCAGCGTGAGAAGCTCTACCATTCTGCTGCCCTGCAGCTCATTAAAGTGCCATTGAAACCTACCCCTTCTGTGTTTTGAGTACATGCACAGACACAACACCACAGTAATTGTAAATATTTGCCCAAGGTCACCTCTGCCACCTCTGCCGATTAATGCAGGATCCCAGCTAATCCAGCACCCACCAGGCCTCGAGGGAGGCTGGCATCTGCAGTGATCCATGAGGAAAACTGTCTGAGACTTAAATATACTGTGTCTCTGAGCTGTGGTCTGGTGGGTCCCAGCCCATTCTGGGCCTTGGCATTGGGTCTGTTCAGAGACAGCTGCCACAGCTGCGCACACCCACCACAGCCCCTCAGCTTGGGAGTGCCAGCAACAGCCACATCCTGCAGAGCAGAGGGGCACAGGGGCTGATCTCCACTGGGGCACCCAGCAGCTGCTCCAGCCCCACGAGCTGGTTCCCAGTGTGCAGAGGAAACACTGAGGCTAATCTCTGCTGTGCCACCCCTGCAGCTGTTCCCTGGCCCTGCTCATTCTGCAGTGAGGCTGGCACTGGAACTGGGAACTGGAGGGATATGGGCACACTATGGAGCTGGCCACCACTGCACAGTGCCACCATCTGGGTTTTGTGGCTTTGTGTCCCTGGCTGCTGTGGGAAGAAGGCTGAGGCTCTCAGAGATCAGGGCTGAGCCGCCACTGGTATCTGCACTCCAGCACTTCAGCGAGTGCTGGGCAGTCAGGTTGTCACTCAGCGACCCTTGGTGGTTGGACTTTGTTGTGACCTCCAGCCATCTGCTCATTGTCACTGGTCTCAGTTCCCTGCAGCCCAATGTGCCATGTCTGGGGGCTGCACATCTCTGCTCTTGCCCAGCCATGGGCTCTGGCTCTGCTCAGAGCCTGAGCCCACCCCTGGCTACCTGCTGTGGGCTACAGGTCGCTCTGAATTTGGAAAAGTAGCTTTAATTTCCTGCCTGTCCAAGGGTCAGAGGACAGGGCTCTGGTCAGGCTGTCCACTCACCTCACATTGCTCTGCTCAGGTACATAGACAAAGGCAGGTCCCAGGACAGCTCTAGATTCTGTGATTTGGCCACAGCTGCTTGGGCTGTGCTTTCACTGCTAGAAAAGCAGAGATGGGTTTAATGCAAACAACATGGTGCATATTAACTCCACTGTTGTCAGACCCTGCTGGAAGCAAGCATTTGTGATCCCTCTGCACAGCGAACCAGGTGAGAACCAGGCCAGCCATGGTGCTGGAGGCAGCCTTGGCTGCCCAGCGGCTTTGCGTGTGTCCTGTCCCACTGGAGAGCCCCAGCAGGACAGCTGCCGCGTGCCCAGGGTCCGCCCGGACCAGCACGGTGCCTGTCTGCGTGTGTGCAGTGATGATGGGCTCAGGGCACAGGCTCAGGGCTCGCAGAGCCTCCTCCAGCACCTGCCGGCAGCTCGCCTGGCCTCACCTTCAGATGCACCAGGACCCTGGATGTATTTTTCCTCAGGTTTATTTTTAAAAGACGGCTCATTTTACACTCTGGACTGCCTTCAAATATAAATAACCTGTGCCACATGTCCCCATATTACCAAGGAATAAATTAAAGTTCTGAGTTTCCCCTCCCATGTTTCCCTTTGATGTTATTGCTGTGGATACATACATATGTGCACTTTGCACATCACAATCCAACCTCACCCAGAGCTGGTTTGCTGTATGGAGAACACTGGGTGGGACGTCCCTTTGTGATGCTGAACCAGGTGGTTAAAACCACATTTAATTCATTTTTCACTTTGAAAAAAATAAATGTGTTGAAAGACCTGCTGTCAAGGTACCAAGTCTCACCATAAACACACGGACATACAGTGCCATCCATCGCACGGGAACACACAGTTCCCCACATCTCATAGGGACACACGCTGCCCCCCACCCCACAGAAGCACACGGTGTCCCCCATCCCATGGGACACGCACTGCCCCCCACCCCATAAGGACCCACACTGCCTCGAAACCCACAGGAACACCGAGTGCCCCCCACCCCACGGGAACATGCACTGTCCCCGTCCCAAGCGAGCACACAGTGTCCCCAGCGCACGAACACACACTGCCCCGTCCCCGGAGGGGCGCGCGGTGCCGCCCGATCCCTGGCGCGCTCCCGGCGCCGCTGCCGCGGCCTCACCTGCGGCGGGGCGGGGCCAAGAGGGAGGGGCGAGGCCGCGCTCTCTCTCTGGCCCCGCCCCNAGGGAGGCTCCCGCGGGCCGCCGGTACGTACCGGCGGCACCGGGGCGGGCGGGCGCACCGGGGCGGGCCGGGGGGGCTCCCGCGGGCCGCCGGTAGGTACCGGCATCGGGGCGGGAGGCGGCACCGAGTCGGGGAGGGAATGCCGCGACCCACTGGTAGGTACCGGCGCGGGAGGAAGCACCGAACCGGCCGTCGGGGCCCCGGCGCGGCCTTTCCCGCGGGTTTGCAGCAAGTGCCGGGGCGGGCGACTGCCGCCCTTCCCGGGAACCGTTGCCGGCTTCCCCCCGGCTCCCGATCGCCTCTCCCCGTTGCGGAGTGCGTCTATCAGCCGGCTCCGTCACCTTCCGCCGCTTGGCGGGGAGACCCGGGTGGCCTGTCCCCGCTCGGGGCTTCCCGCGGCCTTCCCGTTCACCCGGTTCGCCGAGAGCCATCCTGCTAGGGAGCAGCGGTGCGTTACCGGCGGAGCGGATACGAACTCGCCGGCTCCCCGCCCGCGGCTTTAGGGATCCCGCGCGCCCCTCGTCATGCCCCCGCCGTTCCCCCTCGCCCCGGGTTTTACGCTGGAGACTGTCGTATCCCCTCTCGCCGCCCAGCCCCGTGCCAGCTCCCGGCGGTTTGTGGTGCCGGGCTGTCGTCGCTGCCGCAGAGCCGGTGCGGGGCCGGTGCTGCCCTGATCCTGCTGGGCCCCCCCACACCCCTTCCCCCAGCGCGGCTGGAATCTGATGAACTCCAGGGCCATGGAAGTTAATGGTAGCGGGCTCCGTGACCGGCGCTTCGGAAGCCGCAGAGGAGAGACACGGCCACGTGTGGGAGGTCTGCCAGCGCTGTCCCCCGGGGCGCTGGGGGCCGGGGGACGTTTCCGGGCTACTGCCCGCACTTTGGGGTGTCACTGCTGGCAGCGGAGCGTGTTTTGCTTGCGCCGACGATCTCTGCAGCTGCTGGAAAGCGTGCCCAAGTGTCACCTCTTTCTCGCGCTTTATTTTCCTGTTTTGCCTCAAAAAACATCCCAACCGCAGGTTTATTGCCCCTATGTGCACAGCTGGCGAGGGCTGGTGTGCGGTGAAGGGCCGTTCTGCCCAGCGGTCTGCGGAGTTTCCGGCGAGGGCAGATGGCTCTGCTTGCTCCGTCATTCCCTCAAGTCCGGACACGCCGGCGTTAATGGCTCCTGCCCTTCCTGGCTGCCGCCCAGGTCTCCCCAGCCAGCCCGGAGGTTTTGGCTCAGCTTTTGTTGTCAGAAGCAGCTTCAAGGAGACCGGCTCTGCCGGAGGAGCTGCCGCAGCCGGGTGGGAGCTGGCAGCGGTGCCTGGCGGAGCACAGGGCACTGTTGGCTCCCAGGTGCCAGGGGGGCATCATCGGGCAGTGTCTGGCAAATCTGGAAGGTGCCACCGACCTGTGGGCCTGCCGGGGAGGCGTTGAGTATGGGCTCGAGCTGCTCCTAGACCCTTCTGCAGTGCCCTTCCCTCCTGTACCCCGGCTGCAGCAGGCAGTGACCCTTGGTCTCTGCTGGAGGGGCTGTGCAGAGCTGCCTCCACTCCCCCGGGTGTCATGGGCTCTGTGCTGAGGTTGTCTCTGCTGCATTTCACCATCGAGGAGCAGACTCAAGGCTTGGCTTGTGCCCCTGACCAAGGGGTAATAAAACCAGCCACAGTACAGAGGGAGGGAAGGAGGGAGGCTGGCCCAGGCAGCAGTGCTGGAATACTCTCGCACCGAGGGGATGTTCCCTGAGGATGCTCCTGGGAAAATACAGTAAGTGCAATAGCAATACAAGGAGGAAGGATGAATTGATGCCAGCAACAGCAGCAGCTGTCTCGGTTCAGGCAGGTGGCTACAGAGCCCTGGATGTGCTGGCTGCTGCGATCCAAGCTGGGTCTGTGCCCTGTGCAGCCTTCCATGGCGGCTGGGAGGCCGTGCCTGTGCACGGCCCACATCCTGCCTGGTTTGGAAGTGCTGCTTTGCAAAAGAAATGGAGCTGCAGTAAATCCCTGCCTTGCAAAGCGTGCACCGGGTGAGCTGTGCTGGCCTCTGAGGTACAGGCATGGATGGCTCAGGGGTGTCTGTCAGTGTGTGTGCCAGTTTGTGAGCAGAGTGGGATTGGCCCTGGGATCATGTGAGATTGATAAATGACTTACTTTTAAAGCCAGTATTATGTTGCCTCCTGCTCCCCTCCAGGGATGGATAGGTGTTTCCAAACCCACTCTACGACTCCCTGGGCTCTCTGTGGGTTTCTGAACTGTCAGCTGGGGCTTCTGTAGTGGGGAGGGCCACCCTGAGCCTTTTAGCTCTTGGGTCAACCCCTGGCTTTAAGGGATTGGTGCATCCTGAAGGCTGGTCACTGGAGAGACCTAGGCTGTCCCATCAGAGATGCTAGAACCAGAACTGTCTCTGCAGGCTGCACAGCTCGTTCGTTAAAGGAAGCTGATGAGCAGTGTGATTATTTTGTTCCTCTGGAAGGAGTTGCTGCTGCCGATTACAAATGCCTTCTGTAACAAATCCACCTTAGTCTGCTTGGAACCCCTCTGAGGCTGGTGCTCCCCACATTGGGGTGAGAGGGTCTGTGGCTGCTCCCCTGAGCTCACTTCTGGAGAGGGACGAAGCCTTGGGGAGGCTGGAGCTGTGTTGCTGCTTTCCCTTGTTTTTAGTGTTCTTTGCCTGGAAAGTGAGTGTGTGTTGCAGCCTAATGAATGCCTGGCTGTACCGTCATCTTGTGCGAACGGGCAGCCCTGGCAGCCCCTGTGAGCAGCGAGCACCCTTGTGGAGATGCTGATGACCAGCCTCGGGCTGCTGCTTCCAACGCCGTCACTCGTTACTGTGGAGCCTGGGTCCCAAAAATGCCAGGGCAAGGAGGTCACCAGCAGGAGAATGGTGTCTCTGTGTGGCTCTGAAAGGCGCCTTGTGCTGTGCAAGGGTGGGAGGCTCCAGTGGTGTGCAGGGAACATCTCACCCATTGGATCCTGGGCATGTGTTCCTACACAGTGCTGGAAACACTGGGCTGGATCTTCGTGCCAGCGGCCCTGGATGTGCCTCTCATCCTTGGGTGCAGGGAGGGGCACGGTGCTGAGCCCGGAGCTTGTGGCCGTGTCATCCTTGGGAGAATGCGGGGCAGAGCTGGGCATGCTGCAGCCCTGGCTTTTGGAGTGCCAGTGGTGGGGCTCTGCCGATGCTGGCAGGATGTGGTGGCTTCAACATGTGCCCTTTCCCTGTCTTTGTCCCAGCCCCTGGCCCAGGGAGCATGGCCAGTGGCAGAACTGCCCTTTTTGTGCCTCTGGATGTGCTGCCCTTTCTCAGGAAACAGCCAGTTGTGCTTGCTGGCAGTGCATCACTCTGCCTTGCTCTGACCTCCTGCCCTGGGGCCAGGTGGGTCCTGTGGCCAGGATGGGGACATCTTTGCCCTTGTTTTCTGGGGCTGCCAGCTCACTGCTGTGGGGAAGGCAGCCCCCAGCCCCTGGTAATGCCTTTTAACACAGCAAGGACAGGAGCAGGTTGCTGGCCCCCAGGCCTGCTCCAGTATGGGAATGGGGCTGGGTGACAAAAATCTGGGGTGCCGGTGGGGTGCTCAGGCTAGACCACTTTTTATCTTCTTTTCATGCAGTCTCAGCTCTGTGGTGCCAGTCAGCCTCCATGCAGCTCACTGATCTCTGTGTCACTGTGGGCTTGGCTTCCTCCCCCAGCAAACAAACCTGAAGTCCCTGGGTGCCTGGAGGGCAGGGGACATCTCTCTGCTGGGGAGCTCCCTGTGTTTCAGTGCTGCTGTCATCCTTCTCATGGAGTCATGGAATAGGCTAAGTTGGAAGGGACCCATCAGGATCAGTAAATCAAATTCTTGGCCCTGCACAGACACCCCAAGAATCTATCATCTGCCTGAAAGCGTTGTCCAAGTGCTTTATGAGCTCTGGCAGCCCCAGGGGTCATCACCACTTCACTGGGGGGACTGTCCCAGTTTTCAGTCACTTGCTGGGTGAAAAAACATTTCCTGATGTCCAACCTAAATATCATGTCCCTGTCCCCCTTTCCCTCCCCTAAATGATGTCCCTTTCTTCTGCGAGTGGTTGCTCACAGGGGATGTGGGCTGTCCCAAATGTCCCCTGGTGCTACACCAGCGACTGCTCCCAGAGCCCGAGACTGGGGAGGGGACACTGCCCCACTGCAAGTGCCATCAGGTGCCCGGGTGTGTGGGAAAGCCTGGTGTGGTCTGTGTCTGCTGCCACCTCAGCCAAGGCTGCCCCGGCATGGTCCAGGAGCATTTTGGACTGTGCTGAGTCGGGGGAGTCTCTTAAATCACAGTGGAAAAGGCTTGTGGTGGTAATTGTGATGGAAACTGTTTTTTGCTGAAGGGGAGGCTGCCTGTGAGGTCCCAGTGAGGAGCTGCTGCAGGAGCCCAATGCCGCCACCAGGTCTTCCCGACTGGGTGGTGGCATCTGGTTTGCTTCCTTTTGGGCATTTCCCATGGGATTTCCGCCCTTGGACAGGAAAAGGGTGTGGATGGGATCCGGTTGGAATGGAATCTCAGCCAGAGCGGCCTGTGAATGAATGGGGATGCTGCTGTCACTGTGTGGGTTAAACAGCTTCCGAGTTTTTCACTCTGAGTAGAGTGACTGAAGGGAAATGTGGGAGAGGGAGAGGAGGGGAGAGTTGTGGGGTTTTTTTTTTTTTTTTTGTTTGGAGGAGTTGGAGTTTTTGATTTTTCTGAGATTTTTTTACAGATGTTGCAGTTGGATGCTGCAAGCTCTCAGGTCTCAGAACTGTATTTTACAGATCTCACTATCTGGTGACTCTGCTAGAGGCTGCTAGAGAAGGAAGACCCACAGGCTTGTGAAAAGCCAGTATGAGAGATAAGTGGAAACTTGCTGCATCACTGGGACTCTGAGGGCAGATCCAAGGGACTCATGCTGCATCCATGCAGGAACACATACAGCAGGTCTGTGTGCCAGCTGTGTCAGGGATCCCCCAGCTTCACACACTTTCTGTGGGATCCCAAAATGAAAGGGCTCCATGCCTCTGCAGAATGTCATTATTGTGTTTATTACTGAGATTTGTGTCTTAGAGAGAAATTAATTGCTCAGTCTATTTCTCGTTTTGCAGATGCAGGAAATCAACTACTACACAAACCCAATTTTGAGTTGGTTGACTGAAGGGGAAAAATTGCATTCAGGCAGGA